AAAAAAGTCAAAAAGTCAATTTGAAAAGGTCCATTATAATATTCATTACATCAATAAGTTTAATTGTTCATGCACAAAGTCAATTTGATAACTGAAGATTTTCATCATTGATATTAGCAGAAAACTTTGTTGTATGAGAAATGAGTGGACCAATACATGTCCATTCAAAATAACCTTTTGTTTTTGTATGTTAAAAAATTTATGATGCATGGTAACTGATGAAGATTTACCTATTTACGGATCTTGCTTAAGCTTTTTTCCTGGCCTATAAAAATTAAATTATAACTAAATGATTGAAGAAATAAGTTTTTATTATTTGCAAATAATGAACTTACTCCTAACTTTACATTTTAATTCTGATTGCATATCTTTTGTAAGACATGTAAAAAAAGGAAAAAATTTAATATGTGCAAAGAGTTGATGGATAAAATATTAAGCATGTTTACCTTGATCTTTCTTTATGATGCAAATAGAAAGCAACTTAGAAAGTGATGAATGGAAAAAAAGAAAGTTAGTAAAGTTATAAGCAGTATACTTAAATAAATAAAATAAATGTAATAAATAGAAAATAATTTTAAATATATATATATATATATAGTTACATAAATTAATAGGAGATTTGTTCTCCATTATTTTTAATAATAAGTTTGCAACGTCATTTTATTGAATCTGCTAAATTCGTTAATACAGTTTTTAGACTTGTCCTCTATTCCTCTGCCATAAATCTTTTTAATTCATCAAGATTTTTTGGCATCTAACATTCTACATTCCCCTTAACAATTTCCTATAAGTTTTTGATCAGATTTAAATCAGAACTATTTGAGGGCCAGTTAATTACTTCTAGGACATTATTATAAAGAAATTCTTAGTAAAACAACTTGTATATTTTGAGTTATTATCTTATTGAAGCCTTTAGTTATTACTAAATATTGCATCAATTTCTGAAATGTGATTTTCAAGGATTTTGACGTAGAATTTCATATTCATTATTTGGCGGAATCAAATAAATTTATTTTGCCTATTACACAAAATTCGCCTATGTAAAAATTTTTAATCTGTATTTTAAAATAGGACAGATTAGACAACTTCTTTATTCTAACGCTTCACAATATTCTGAAAAAGTTGGAAGGCTATTTCATCTGAAAAAAGTATTATACTCCAAACATCATTAATATGCTTCTGCGTTCACTTAACACGCTTCTATTTGTAGATATCAATAAGTATTAGAGTTGCTCTTGAAAGGGATTTTTTATAACCATGTATAATTAAATGCTTTGAAACAGTCACATGAGATACTTCAAGATCCATTCAGTTTAATTTTTTAATCAGAGTTCTTATTAGAATCAACATATCTCTTCAGATACTTTATCCAAAGGAATTAAAAAATTTGTCAATGATTTTTCTTGGATGTCTACTTCCCTTTTTTCAACTTACTATATTACTTTTCTTTATTTTTTTAATATTATCATAAATAGTGAAAAGAAAAATGTTTGTAATCCTATTAATTTTAGTTCTTTTGCGCATACTCTTATTCCACAATTGTAAAATAGTTTGCCATTATCTTTCTTGCTTCAAAACTAATATTTTGTAATGCAGTAACTCAGAAAAACAAATAAACAAAGTTCTGATTAAAGGTCAGAATTTATTGTTATGATAATTATATTAATCTTTCATTTTAGAATTTTTAAATCGGATTCAATTTAGTCATGTGAGTTCAATTTGAATTATACTTTTAAAATTCCAGTTTTTTTCATAACACACTATATAAAAAAAAATTTTTTTTATGTGATATAAAATACATATACAGTCAAACTTCTCTAAATATATCCCTTTAGGACCGGATGAAAGGGTACATTTAGAGAGGGTGTGCATTAAGAGAAAATATGTAATTTAACAGATTTTTATGATGCGATAATAATAAATTTGTTTATTTTTATTATATTAAACATCAGCTAACCAGATTTAAAATCAGTACAAATTTTTAAGCTACAAATAAAACTCAATAATCAGAAAAAATTGATAAATAAAAAAAAATTTCTCTCTATTGATACATATTACAATTATTCATTAATATTAAAAAATTGCTCTAAAGTAGTTTGTTTCATTAAACTGCTTTTTTTTCTCTAATAAATCTCTCAAGAATATTTACAGATTTTAAATATTCAATGATATCTTCTTGCTAAAGTAAAAATACACGAACAGTCTCTAAACTTTTTGATGTTATACTTGTACTAATGAGCTCTATCATCATTTTTATTTAAGTTTTTATCAGGTTTCTTTTTAAATATATCTACAAATTCACAATGATATTATTATCTTCAGGAACTTCATAAGTAATATCCTCTTTAGAGTGAGCTAAAAGCTCTTCTGCTTGCATACCATCAGGAAAATTAAGGGTTTCAAGTACATTAGAAAGTTTTTCAAGCAGCAAATCATTTTAAATAACATTTTCTTCAACATTTTCTTCAATAGGAAGGATTTCGGTATGATGCTAGCAGTTACAAATCGTTTTAGCTTAACTTCATCTCAAGTTTGAATAGAATATTGAATGTCTTATAAGATATTTATTTTTAAGTTTTATGTAAATTCATTAGCTTCAATCTGATCTAACATCCATTGAATTTATTGGTAACGATAATTTCTTTTAAATAATATGATAATTTCAGCATCCATTAGTTGAATCTTTGATGTTATATTTAGAGGTAAGAAATAAACATCAATATATGAAAAAACTAACTCATTTATCTTATGACTTAAATAGTTGTTAAGAAGTAGCAAAATATGCTAACTATTATGCTTTCTGAATATCTATAAATCGAATCCTTGAAGTCATTATTATAAGAGAATTAGTAACATTTAAACTTTGGAATTATTTCAATAGGTCATTAAAAGGTTGAAAATATTAATATTCTTGAAACATTATGGCTTTACATATTTTCCAATAATTAAAGATTTCAGCTTATATGATCTATTGGTATTGCATATAATGCAATAGAAATACGTTCTTTATTTTTTTTACATCCAGAAAGACATTTTGTAGCTAAGGTTTGATCTAGTTCTAATTGGTAGAAAAGTCCAGTTTCATCCATATTATATATCCTCTTAAGAGGATAGTTAGCATATTTATTACGCAGTAATGGTAAAGCTTCAAGAATGACAGATTCAACTTTTTCATGAAGTTTCTCTTAATGAATTCCATTACGATCTTTAAATTTGTAAAGCCAACCAGAAGAAAATTGCAATGTGCCTTCTAGAACTCCTAATTTGCTAGCAAGCAATTTAGCTTTTTCAATTAACATTGCATTACTCAATATAGTTTGTTATTGGTAATATAACACAAATTCTTTAAGTGCTAGCTCAAGTTCTGAAATAGTGACAGAACAGTGTCATTTTGATTCTGGATTGACAATTTTAGTGGTAAGTTATTTATCACTACTTTGTAATAATTGATTCATTAAATCTAATTCCTTATTTATCTTCAATCCAATCTAAATATTGAGTTCGAGTTCTTTTATTATCACAGGCATAAAGATAAAATTCGTGTTTTTGGGTATCAGTTAAAGTGACTTTTTTAGGAGGCATATTTGAATTTGTTAATAAAGAAAACAATTTTACTTGTCTATTTATATTCCTAATTTTTTGACTTTTTATCCTTACTTTCAACAAATCCGTAAGGTATGATCGGCTATACAATATTTCCTAATATATAATTTCTATAAGGCTATGTTTTTCTTTTTTATATATTTGCTTTTTGATTTTGATTTTGTATTAATATTACTATTACTAATATGACTATCATGTCTTTATTATTGTTTTAATTTAGATAATAATATTTAAAAATTGCAAATGCCGTAAGGCTATGTTTATTTTTTTGATAATAATATTCAAGTATTTGCAAGTACCGTAAGGCTAATTTTCTGCAAGTGTTGCAGGTATTGCAAAAATGCGTAGTATCTGTATCGCTGCAAAAATTTGTAGTATCCGTATCGCAGTTGCAAATAGGCTGTGTTGCTATTAATATCTGATAGTATGCAACATCCACAATTAATAAAAGCCAAATGTTTGATAAATTATTTTTTATTATTATCGTTGTCTATGTAATTACATGTATATCGTAGATGTAATATAACATATGTTAAAGGTTAAGGATCAATATATGCAACGATATAAAGAATGTGAATTTATATATCAAAATATATCAAAACTCATCTAAAAACTTAACAAATTCAAGACTTATTTATATTATTTATTCAATAGTTAATATTAATTATTATTTTATGATGCCAAAATCCTTAAAATGATACAAATGACTGATTATTATGATATCATGATCAGTCAAATGGAGATGTTTGGCCAGCATTAGAATAATACTGCTGGGTTATAGCTTTAATAAAAATTCGTAGTCATGTGAAGTGCATTTAAAGAATGCATTTATCATATGAATGGACTAAAAAACTCCTTGCACGTGCAGAACATAGAGGGTGCATTAACATCTAAGTCCCAAGCTAGGGACCGGACCAGAGTGTGCATTTATAAAGGGTGCATTTAGAGAGGTTTGACTGTATTACCAAATCAATTATAAATCTCAAAATTTACTTAGGAGGGGGTACGATGACATATCGGACATACGAGCCGCAGTCGGGATATTCGGGCGACCGACAAAGTAAAAAAAAAAAAAATTTACTTTAAAATAAATAATAATAAATAATACATTTTTTATTATTTCGTGACGTATATATTTCTATTTAATAAAATTTATTTTTATTATTTTTTAAAATTAAATGCAAAAAAAAAAATTGTACAAAAAGAGTTTATATGTATAATGCAAAGGTAAAAAAAAAAAAATTATAAATACAAAAAGAACCAAACAAATAAAATAATTTAAGTACGATTAAAGAAAAAAAACGATTGAAATTGAATATTTAAAAAGTCCAATAATGAAAATAAAAAATTTTTGTCATTGTCCATGGTTTGATGATTTTTTTTTGATAAATAAATTATCATCTCCAAGTTGCCATAGCAACTAAACCTGGATGCGTCTGATGCGTTAAAGATTCCAGGGTACGTTGTTTAATACCTCCGGTTACAGGTAAATTTGTATTACCCATCAAGTATTGATCGACCTCTCTCGCTGCCTGTCTTCCTTCATTAATACCCCAAACAATCAAGCTTTGTCCTCGTCGACAATCACCGGCAGCAAAAATTCCCGGTACAGCTGTACTGTATTTTCCTTTAAACGTTTCAATGTTGGTACGAGCATCGACTTTTAATCCTAAACTATTTATTAACTTTTCTTCTGGACCCATAAAACCAAGTGCCAAAAATATAAGATCAGCTTGGAAGAATTGTTCGCTTCCTATAACTTCTTTCATTGACCATCGACCGGTAACCGGATCTTTTGTCCATTCTACGCGAACTGTGTTAACACCAGAAACGTGTCCATTGCCGTCACTCACAAAGGATTTTGATAATATATTATACTCTCGAGGATCTTTTCCAAAATGTGTAATAACTTCAGAATGCCCATAATCAATGCGGAAAACCTTTGGAAAGGTCGGCCATGGGTTTTCGATGGGATCGCGCGTTGCTGGTGGTTGAGGTAACAACTCAAAGTTTACGACTGATTTGGCGCCTAAAATTTACATCAAGCACATCGATTAAGAAACTATGAAGAAATAAAAAAATCGGATAGTAAAAACAAAACAATGATGATAAGAATATTTACCATGCCGTATCGATGTCCCTATACAATCACATCCCGTGTCACCACCACCTATCACGATGACTATTGGTATGATGAAAAATTACAAAATCAATTCATATTTTTTTTTTTTTGTAAAATTAATTCCGAGACAAAATTAAAAAAAAAAGCTACATACCGTTCTTATCCTTTGCGTTGATATAGCGGGAATTTTGAAGGTTTGAATCCAACAAACTCTGGGTGTTTAATTGAAGGAATTCCATGGCAAAATGAATGCCGTCAAGGTTTCTATTGGCTAATCACATGAAATGAAATAAAATTACGTTGAGAAAAGTTAAACTTCGACCCAAAAAAATGAAAGCAATAAAATACTTACGTATTTTCAAATCACGTGGCCAAGTTGCACCTGTTGCGACTATCATACAGTCGTTCTCTCTCTTAATCTTAGATGCATCGACATCAACACCAACATGAGCATTTGAAACAAACTTGATTCCTTCATCGGCGAGGAGGTCAATTCGCCTTTGTACAATTTTCTTGTCTAATTTCATGTTTGGAATACCGTACATTAGAAGGCCACCAAATCTATCATTCCGGTCATATACTGTGACGAGATGGCCAGCCTTATTAAGTTGATCTGCTGCGGAAAGACCTGCTGGACCTGATCCAATGATTGCAACTTTTTTACCGGTACGCATTGCTGGCGGTTCTGGAACAATCCAACCCATTTCAAAACCTTTATCGATAATGGCACATTCAATGGATTTGATACTAACGGGTGGTTCATTGATTCCCAATACGCAAGCACCTTCACAAGGAGCGGGACAAACACGACCGGTGAATTCAGGGAAATTGTTCGTCATCATCAACCTGTTCAAAGCATCGCGCCATTGATTTTTGAAAACAAGTTCATTCCATTTTGGAATGATGTTACTGATTGGACAACCATTGTCCGATTGGCAGAATGGCACCCCACAATCCATACAACGAGCTGCTTGTACTTTAAGATCTGAATCGTTTAGACGAGCATTGATTTCTTTCCAATCATTCACCCGTTTTTTTGGATTCCTGTAATTGTCAACTCTCCTCTTATATTTCATGAAACCCCGGACTTTATCCACAATTTGAGATCTCTTTTTGGCAGCTTCTTCATCCACCATTGAATCCTCTATATCTGCGACTGATGGTTCTGCCTTTTGATTAGCTAGTTGAAGTTCTGGTGGTTGTTGTATTTCTTGCTCTTTCCTCTTTTGAGTTTCTTTTTGTTTCTCCAATACAGCCCGGTAGTCGACTGGGATAATCCTAACGAATTTAGGTAAGATCTGATTGAAATTTTTCAATACACGATCTGCAATATCCGATCCAGTGAAGTGACGATGATCTTCAATAAGTCCACGCAAGAATTCTATTTCTTGAGGATCATTTACCGTTTCTAAATCGACCATTTCAGTATTACATTTTGAACGGAAATCTTGAGCGAGATCGAGCACATAGGCGATGCCCCCGCTCATACCAGCTGCAAAGTTTCGTCCCGTTCCTCCTAAAACAACCACCCTTCCACCTGTCATATATTCACAACCGTGATCGCCAACACCTTCAACGACAGCAATCGCTCCAGAGTTACGCACACAGAAACGTTCAGCTGCGATACCACGGAAGAAAGCTTTACCGGATGTAGCACCATATAAACATACATTGCCAACAATAATATTTTCCTCGGATTTGAAAGTGGAAATTTTTGGTGGATAAACTATTATATGACCTCCTGAGAGACCTTTTCCTACATAATCATTGGCGTCACCTTCCAATTCAAGAGTTATACCAGAAGCTAAGAAAGCACCAAATGATTGACCCGCAGAACCTCTGAGATTGACACGAATAGTATCATCAGGTAATCCAGCTTCGCCATGAAGTTTTGAAACGTGACATGATAAAGTCGAACCAAGTGCACGATCAGTATTTACAATATCGCAATCAATTTTAACTGATTTCCTCTTGGTCAATGCTAATTCGGACTCATCGATGAGCTTATTGTCCAATCGAACATAAAGTTTATGATCTTGTTTTCGTACATTGTAAGTTGCAACTCCAGGACGCAAAGTGAAAGCTGGAGTTAAGATCGGTGTGAGGTCGATATTTTCTGTTTTAGCATTCCTTAAAGATTCATTCACTCGAAGTTTATCGGATCTGCCAACCATTTCATTGATTGTTCGGAAACCAAGTTTTGCCATTATTTGACGACATTCTTCAGCAATATAATAAAAGAAATTTATCACATGCTCAGGCTTCCCTTCGAATTTCTTACGTAATTCCGGATCTTGAGTGGCTATACCAACAGGGCAAGTGTTCAGATGACACTTCCTCATCATAATACAACCCACTGCAATTAAAGGCGTAGTCGCAAATCCCCATTCCTCCGCACCTAATAAACATGCTATCGCCACATCACGACCAGTTCTAATTTGTCCGTCGGTTTGAACAATTACGCGACCACGTAAATCGTTCAAAACTAATGTTTGATGTGTTTCAGCAAGACCCAATTCCCAAGGAAGACCAGCATATTTGATACTTGTCCAGCGTGACGCACCAGTACCACCATCATGACCAGAAATTAAAATATGATCTGCCTTTGCTTTGGCAACACCGGAAGCAACGATACCAACACCAACTTCTGAAACTAACTTGACGGAAACTCGAGCCCTAGGATTTGAACACTTGAGATCATATATCAATTGTTTCAGGTCCTCAATTGAATAAATATCATGATGCGGCGGAGGAGAAATTAAACCAACACCAGGAGTTGATTTTCTTGTTTTACCAATTTGATCTGAAACTTTATGGCCAGGTAATTCTAAGAATAATATTTGAATTAGCACAAATTTTTTTTAAAAAAAATATTATTATTATTATTTATATTATTCACCTCCTCCCTCGCCGGGTTTGGCACCTTGAGCCATTTTAATCTGTAATTCGTCTGAATCGGAAAGGTAGTAGGATGTTACACCAAATCGTCCAGAGGCTACTTGCTTGATGGCGCTTCGCTTAGAAACATTATTGGGCAGTGGTATCGAACGCTCGGGATCCTGAAATAGATAAACATTTTGATTAAAAAAAGATTGATTTAAGAAAAAGGAGAGAAACCAAAAAAAAAAATAAAATAAATTTTCCAACAAACCTCTCCACCCTCGCCGGTATTTGACTTTCCACCTAACTTATTCATTGCAATTGCAAGGGTTGAGTGAGATTCGATCGAGATAGAACCATAAGACATAGCACCAGTGCAAAAGCGTTTCACAATTTCTGTCCAAGGTTCAACTTGATCCATAGGGATCGCTTTAGAGTTATCATAATCGAAATCCAAAAGGCCACGCAGAGTGCAATTTTTAATTTGCTCATAAGCATTGCGTGAGTAGGATTCATAAGATGATTGATTTTTTGAACGAACCGCGTGTTGAAGGTCTGCAATGCCAGAAGGATCGTTTATATGTGGTTCGCCACCATCACGCCAATGATATTCACCAGATTCTGGTAGTCCTTGTGGAATGATTGTGTCACGTGAAGGGAACCCTTGCTCATGGAATGCAAGGGCATCTAACGCTAAAATTTCAAATGTCGTCCCTTTTATTCTTGAGGCTGTGCCCGCGAAACACCGGGCGATAACGCTGTCATCGATCCCTAAAGCTTCAAAGATTTGCGCCCCTTTGTAGCTTTGTAATGTGGAGATACCCATCTTTGACATAACTTTCAAGATGCCATTGTTTATGGCTTTCTTATAGTTAAAAATGATCTTGTCAACAGTCAAATCATCCCTGATGGCGTTTTCTCGTTTAAGTTTCATTATGGCCTCCATGACCAAATAAGGACAAATAGCATCAGCACCATAACCTAAAAGTACAGTAATGTGATGAACTTCTCTGGCTTCAGCGGTCTCAATAAAAAGAGCAATTTTTGAACGTTGTTTACTACGGACAAGATAATGATGCACGCCACCGACAGCTATCAAGGAGGAAATTGCAACTCTCTCGGCATTAATACCGGTATCTGAAAGAACAACAATTTTAAAACCTTCTTGAATAGCTTGAGAAACTTCAGCGCAAATTCGTTCTAAAGCTAATAAATAACCAGAGACTCCTTCTTGTTTTGGAAAAGTAATGTCAATGGTGCAAACGCTCCAATCGGATTGAATCCTCTCCATCCTTTTAATAGCGTTTAGTTCATCAATTGATAGAATTGGGGAGGGTAATGCAAGTCTGTTGGCTTGTAGTTCGTTGATCTCCAAAATATTTCCTTCGGGTCCAATGTAACATTCCAATGACATCACAATCTCCTCACGGATTGGATCGATGGGAGGATTTGTAACTTGGGCGAACAGTTGACGGAAATAATCATAAATTAAACGAGGTTGACTTGAAAGACAAGCCAAAGGTGCATCATTTCCCATTGATCCAAGAGCTTCTTTGGCATCAACTGTCTAAAATTATCAGGGGGGATGAAAAAAAAAAAAGTTAGAGCTCGAGATTTCATCAAAAATTTTTTTTTTTAAAAAAAAAATTATATATATATATATACCATGGGTAAGACAAGTAAATTTAATTGTTCGATGGTATAACCAAAAGCTCGTAATCGTGGATCTTCCGCAACAGTACTATTATCCAATTCCACGGAAATACCATTTCCGGTCATTTTAATTCTTTCAATGATGCTATCAAGCGTAATCATTTGTTTATCAATCCAAGCACTAAAATTTTCGCGGCTTGCCGTCGATAATTTTAATTCACGGTCATCAACCACACGCCCTTCTTCGGTATCAACCAATAACATTTTCCCAGGCTGTAGACGACCTTTTTGAACGATACGTTCAGGCTCAATAAATGTTGTACCAACTTCAGAAGCGCAAATCATAAGATCATCGCTTGTGATGTAAAAACGACAAGGACGCAATCCATTACGATCTAAGCTTGCACCACAATAACGACCATCACTGAAAGTGAATAAAGCAGGACCATCCCATGGTTCCATAAGGCAAGCAGCCCACTGATAAAATGCACGTTTTTCGGGTTCCATTAAAGCATTGTTCTGCCATGCTTCAGGAATCATCATCATGACAGCTTGAGGTAACGTTAAGACACCATTGATCACGAGTAATTCCAGAACGTTATCGAAGGCGGCTGAATCCGACCCACCTTCTTCAATGATGGGGTATAATAAATCCAATTCGGCGCCGAACAAGTCAGATTTCATGATACCCTCACGAGCTCTCATCCAATTTTTATTACCACGTAAGGTATTGATTTCACCATTATGAGCACACCATCTCATGGGTTGAGCACGATCCCAAGATGGAAAAGTATTCGTAGAGAAACGAGAATGAACCAACGAAAAATGCGTCCTGTACGCAACATTATTCAGGTCGTAGAAATAATTATACACCTGCACGGGGCTAAGCTGACCCTTGTAGGTGATATTTTTGTTGGATAAAGAGCAGATGTAAAACCACCTCTTCACAGTTATAGTATGAGTAGCCTGCTTTCTGAGAACGTAAAGTTGACGAGCAAAATAAGTTTCGTCGAAATTATCAACATTAACATCATCGTGAGGTTTCGAGCTTGCAGAAGCAAAGGTGACGAAGGGTTGCAAGATCGTGGGTTCACGTGATTTTGCCGCAGGACCGAGGATTGTGTTGTCTTTTGGAACTTCACGCCAACCCAAAACTTTTAAATTTAAGGATTCGGCAATCTGTTCAAAGATCTGTTTACTTTCTTCCATAACAGCGGGTTCCGGTTTAAAAAACACGTTACCAACAGCGTATTGACCCCTTGGAGGCAAATTAATCCCTAATCTTGTACATTCTTGGATAAAGAATTCATGTGGAATTCCAGTCATGACACCGGCTCCGTCCCCGTCGCGCGCGTCCGAACCAACAGCCCCTCTATGAGTCATGTTGCAGAGAATACCTCTAGCATCGCTGAGGATTTTATGAGATGGAGCACCTTTAATGTGAACGATAAATCCGACACCACATGCATCTTTTTCATAATCAGGATCATAAAGGGCTTGTTTTGGGGGGATAGTTTCAGCCCAAGACGTATTAATAGGTTCACTAATATTTTCTTGCTGCTTTTCTTTTTGATGCTTTTGTTGTAGTTTATAAATATTTTGTTCGCTTAATACCATAATTTATTTAAGATAGGAAAAAGAGAAATAATGAAAAAAAAAAAAAGCGAGGTAAGATTTTTATAGAGAAAGGAAATCAATTATTAATTTTTTTTGTTTTATATATATGTATGTATATATATACAAGTGTGTAAAAGAGTAGGAAAAAAAAAACCGGCAGGAAGGAAACTTTTTTTTTATGATTAAAAAAAATAAAAAGTTCTTCTAATTCAACCTTCCTTTTCTTTATTAATGTAAAAGGGAATTCGTTTTGATTAATTAAAAAAAATTCGGCGATTCGAAAGATAACAAATATTAAAAGAAAGAGGAATGAATACAAACAACTAATTAATATTATTTATTTTATTTAAATTTGTTCGTTAGATGATTAATTACGTTTTCTTTTTTTTCTTTTTTAAAAAAAAAAAAAATCTCGTTGCTTTTACTTTTTGTTTTAATTATTGAGGTACGTCGTCAGTTTTCTTTTTCTTTTTTTCTCTGTTAGATAAAAAAAAAAAAGGAAAAGAAAATGGGAAGGAAGAGGTGAAAGTTGGATTTGTGCCTTATTTAAAAAAAAAATCCTCATATAAAAAATAAAAAATAAAAAGTTCAAATTTTATTTATATTACCTTAGTATAATATTATGAGGCTTAATGATCAACTATCAAACATCGATTGATCAAAAATCTAGGAAAAAAATTTTTATCATATCGGTATACATAAAAAAAAAGGTAAAAAAAAAAAAATTTGTTCCTGCTAAATGCTTATCTTATCATTCAAAATCAAAAAAAAAAAAAATTCCTTTCGCCCAAATTTTTTCTCCCCTAAATTGGAGATAATAAAACAATGTTAAAATTAAATGAAAAATTTATTGTTTGATACTTTTTTTTTTTAAAAAAAAAAGGGAACCAATTTATTTTTTTGAAAAGGCTAAAATGGGGGATTATTATTTTACTAATAAATAAAAATAATTTTTTTTTTTGAAATATGATTACGCTCGATTCCGCCGATTTTTTTTTTTTTTTTTTTTTATTATTTATTAAGCAACCTAACAACTTTACTTATCTGTTGCCCATCATTGGAAGGTTTTGATAACAAATTTAATTCTCATTGCCTTTTCCTTTATGATAGAAAATAGTTTTCTTATGGAAAAATAGCATGTGAACATCATCCAATCGAATCTTCAAAGCTTATCGAGAGCCGTTTTTTTCATTGGAAAGAAACAATTTCTTTTTTTTCCTCAAAAATTTTTTTATTTTATGAGAGTTATACTATAATTCATCGACAGCGCATGCATTTTTTTTTTTTATTATTTTTATTGCAAAACAATGATAACCTAACCTAAAATCAAACAATCTATAACTAACTTGGTAAAAGAAATTTGGAATGACGGGTACACAGATACACAACCTGTTTGATTATTATTTGTAAATAATTCGAAATCTGTCAATATAAACTTAAGATTATCTCGTCATTTTTTGCCTGAGGAATTCAATCTCTATGTGCCGAGCCAAAAGTTGCGTTTTGTTATGCTTGCCTTCTTCATCTCCTTCCGCCTGACCAACAATCATTGCCAGAAACATTATCATGTGTGACGCTTCCTCAAGGTTCCGCGTTCTCTTTTTCACGTTCCCTTCCGAAGCAATTAAAATGAAAAATGGTGATGACCGAAACACGATACATCTTTGTTTATCTCAGTAGATTAGAGATGAAAAAAAAAAAAAAAAATTATATTTAAATGTTGCCATAGGAAAAAAAAATCAATGTTGTTTATTTTATCAAAATGTTGCAGGATAATCTTAATCTCAGTTTTCTCTGAGTCGTTTCTGAGTAAAAATAAGGTCATGAGGTCCATAAACCTTGTAAAAAAAAAAAATGTTTGCCGCAACCGTTGCTGCGCAGAACCGCGCTGCGGATCATCGGCTGGTCATGGGTCGGAAAATCCCGCATGTAAGAAATTTGTATGAATAAAATTTTCTTTTATAGATCTTTATGCCGACAGGGACCTGAGTCATCGCCAGGTGGGAGGATCGGCGTCATTCAGGAAGATCAAAAAAAAATGTTTTGCTCGGATTTATGGACGGATTGATGCGCTTTTTTTTTTTTCTTTTTAATAAAAGGGAAAGGGCTTTACGTAATCCGTCAAAAAACGCAAGTGACCTTTTGCCGATCGAAATTTCGCCATCTATCAACAGACATGAGATTTAAAAAAGAATTCAATTTCTCTTTTGGAAATGAATTGAAAAAAAGAGATTCGGTAATCATCGACGAAAAATCTTTTGAGAGATGGATTAAATTGATAAATAAAGAACAATGAAAGGGTTAACATCATTCATAAAAAAAAAAAAAAAAAAAATGTTCTACTCGTCTTCTTTAGCCGAATATGCAGAAATCGTTAAATTCAAATTTACCCCGCTAAAATCTATTTCCATTAATGGACATCAATAAGATCATGACGTGGAAAAAAAAATATACACAGAGGAACGTTTCAAATAACTCCTTTTTCCTCAAAATATAAAATTTACCACTTTTTTTTTTTTTTTTTTTTTTTTTTTTGTTATTGTTATTATTTAATTACGCATTAATATTCCGACTATTTTTATCTTCAAAAATCATATCTAAAAGATTAGATCTACCATAAAAGTAATGTGTGATATAAAAGTTCCGTTAGATGTGCATTATCGATTTGAGTGCATGAAAAAAAACACAAATTTTCGATCATTTAGAAAAATCTATTATTTATTACCTACTAAAAATTATTTCATAAAAAAATTTCGAGAGTGTAACACGGTTTAATATTTCACACGTCATATCAATCCTTTATTAAAAAAAAAAAAAAAACTCAAACCAAATTTAATCGATAACGAATTAAATGAAGGTAATTTAAGTAATTAAAATTAAGAACATGTGGGTTTCTCTTTAAATAATTTTAACACATATATTCACATGATTGTTGGTCAAAAAAAATAAAAACCCTAAAATAAACATTTGAACTATAAATTAAGAAATATTTTATTTGATAACCAAAGGTTTTGCGGTGTGTAACTTTACTAAATTGATGATGATAGATAGATGTGGAAGGTCATCTTGTATACTGTATTATAGGTATTATATAATGACCAATAATTAAAAAAAAAAACCAAAACCTTATTTCTAAATAATCAATGAATGGTACGACAGGCACAACGAAAACCGGGAACAAATCCCGTAATAGGTTAGGCTTATCTCAGATATCTTTTTCAAAGAATCATTGGATCTTTTCTCCCGATAAAATACAGGTAGTTATTATATAAATATAAAGATTGTTTGATTTCCTTTTCACATACACAAAGCGAAAGAAGCATCATATGACACAAACAACTTATGAGAATTGAGATTATCGAAGTATAGATAAAGCATGGATTGTAGAATTTGAAAAAAAAAGGAGGAGCAATGTGAGTTTCATTCATGCAATTAGATAAGTAATTTAAGTAATTTTTATAGAAGCATATTTTAACTTGTAAATCCAAAGAATTTGAAATTTTTTACGCCTAAACTCGTTCACTCACCTGACATCATTTATTACATTAATTACTCTCACGCACACAATATGGCAGCCGTGGAGAAAATCATGCGGGAATTCCGAACTGATACCACGCGTCCTTTCCAAAGTTTCATGTGTACGTATGAGGTTATTCATAAATTCAACCGAGTTTTCTGTTGCATCCCTATTTTTTTTTTTTTTCCTTTCTTTTATTTAAAAAAAAATTCCCTTTTTGGGGATTTTACGAGAAAGAAAAGAATTTGGAAGATTAACGGTTAATCTTGCTATAAATGCTTTAATGAAATCACACAAACACAGACTCATAATGGTTTCCGTTTCCTAGTTATAAGTAATTCAGAAACATTCTATATTAAAGTTTGTCTAATAATCATCAAATATGTAAAATTTTAATATATATCTATATCTAAAATTTATCAATATAAATATTACAAGGAAGAGGTCTCGAGAAAGTTATCGCGTGGCACGTAAAAACAATAATGCACTCTGTGATTATGGTACGACGTAGATAAGATATCCAAGAAAACCAATACGGAGAAGAACGGAAGAAAAAAAGCTTTGCTCCAGAAACATTGTACCAAAAAACCAGCCACAAATTCAGTTAGCCGAAAATCTTGTTAAATACACCACCCAAATTTTATTCCCCACATTTTCGATAAACCTCCAAATTTGTCAAGTATGAGAAATCACATGCGAAACCATCAACCAGTTCATTTCAAATTTGGTTTAGCCCATAAGAAATTTTAACAATATCTAGCATATATATAAATGGATCATTCTGACTCGGAACTTTCTCCGAGTAATCATTTATGGTTTAAATTCTCATAACGAAAACATAAATTACATTGTAATAAGATCATTTGATTGTGATTGGTCGTTCTCAAGAAAATAAATTTATCATGAGATTATTTTCTTGTTTACTTGTTACTTACTATTAAATCTATTAAATTAAAATCATGATAAAAAAAATATTCTTGTACTAATATCTCCATGTATGCATTTCATTTAAAATATCCTTTCTTTGGGAAAAGAAAAAAAAATTAAATAAATAAATATCATTTTCTGTATTTCTGTGAAGTTAACAACCATGTACGCGTGACGCAATGATAAACTTGGAATTTTAAACGCGTAGATCTTGCTGTTGTTAAGTCGTTAAATCATTAGGTCGTTGAGCGTAAAATAGTAAGATCACATAAATGGGACCAGCCCCTTAAAGGACTAAAGTAAAACCTATTCGGAAAAATGATTTTTTTTACTAACGTTTTTAATTGAGTAATTCTACAAGCATTAACAATTGTTTATTATATGCGGGACGAATTTTTGTAATCAACCGGCCTTCATTCGCTCACGTATTATTAAGTAAGAAATAATAGTTATACAAAATTTATTTTAAAAGAAATTATCGACAAAATCTGAGGGATAATCAATGAAATTTTTTGCCGTTTAAAAGTTAATTGATTTAGAATAATTCCTTCTTTCAGATTACAAAAGAAAGAAAAATCTCATCCACTCCACTCCTTGAAAGCATAAAAATATTCAATCAAGTGTTTACGATTCCTTTCTTATCAATAAAAAAAAAAAAAAAATTTAAAAAAAAAATAAAAAAATTGCGTTAAATAATAAGAAAATAAATAAATTACGAATATATTGTGATTAGTAATGAATTGGTTCAAGGAAAGCATAAAATCCACATTGAATTCATATAATATGCAATTAAAGGGTATTGTAATCACGCGATGGTTTGGATAACAACAAAACGAAATGAGGAGCAATTTCACGTGAATTTTATTAAATATGGATAGAATTTAAGATTTAAAACTTTAAGGCAGTGTTTTAAATTTTATATCGTGTGAAAATTTTTATATTTTTGATTTTGATTCCCATACAAATTTTTCAGAACTCCGGGCAACCAAAATTTTTCATGGATTTTTTTTCTCTCTCTCAATCCTTTCAACTTGAGAAAATTATTATGTGTAACCTTAGTAAAGATATCCTTTCCATCATATTTGAAGAACTCACCCTTGATTATAACACCCTCTTTTCGTGTTTATTAGTGAATAAATATTGGTTTGAAACTGTAGTTCCAACCTTATGGAAGAACCCTTGGCGTAATCAAATGAAGAAGCGACATAAAAGATCATTATTTGTAACCATCACATCATTTTTTTCAGAGGAGTCCAAAAGATTTTTAGCAAGTCAAGGAATTGAATTAACCTACCGAATCCTGTCCTTTAATTATTTAACCTATTGTACATCCATGATTAATTATAACCTTTATGAGATAATTCAAAATCAACCTTTAACAGATGATTATGATAGATATATCGTGCTGGATGAAATATATCGACTCCTCATCAGTAATTGCATACCGTTAATATATATGGATATGTCATTTATGCAATACCAGTTTTACTTACTTCCGGGTGCCAAACGTTGGCTTTCTGACATTTCTACTTTAATATGTAGCGCTAATACGGAACCTCATTATTTTCAAGGTTTAGCACCTTTAAGTCAATCCATAGAAAAATTATGTATCAATTCATGTCACCAGGATAATTATGGTCTGGCAAAATTGATTGAAGTTCAAAAGAATTTAAAATATTTGGAAATTTCAAGAGATGAGGGTGTGGGGGATGATTCACTTGACATCATTAGTCGCGGGTTGAAACGTCGTGCGAGGTCAATCATAAAATTTAAGGCGGTTTTTGAAGGAATTTTAATTTCGCCAAAGGTTCTTCCAGAACTGGTGAATTTAATAGAATTGGAATTATCCGTGAGGAATCTTAATCAGAAATATGAAGAACAATTGAAAAATTCAACGTTTTCTAATCTTCAAGTTCTTCATATAGGAAACATTTCTGTCAATACCATGGCCATTATAATTGAAAAAACTAATGGTCATGTAAGAAAGATTTGGGTTGATGACTATAAATTCTGCAATGATGCTGAAAGATTAATCCTTGCTATTTATAAAAATTGTTCTTACATTGAAGTATTATCGATCGTTCTTTATAATCATAATTTTATGGAATTCGAAAAGCTGCTTCAATCTTGTGGTCATTTAAGAACTTTATATATTAAAATATTAAGCGCGAGAAAGAATGAGCGTGAAGATAGGATGATTTTATCAGAAATCTTAAAAGAATCCGCACCAGCTTGTTTAAATAATATTACTTAAAATATTCATTCATAAAAAAAATATATATATTTATTTCCTCCTTTTCCCTCAATTTCTCAAGTTGATTCTTTTATTAATTCAATTGAAAGTAAATTTCGGCCCGGAAAATCTTAAAATCAAAGTAGAATTTTCTCTTTTTTGGCGTAAAAATTTTGCTTTGACGGTCAGCCACAATATTAATAATCATAGTTAGCCCTGGACTCGTGAAAAAGCCACATTGATTTGACATGTCGGATTTAAAAATTGTAAATCTATATTCATATATATTTAGATACTTAAATTTCAAAAAATGCATTAATAAATCTCTAATTTCTTTGCTTAACCAATTTTTGAATCCAATTATTTGGTTTTAAAAAGAGAAAAAAATTGCTAATTAAAAGAAAAAAAGTACAAAATACAAAATATTATATATTACTTTTTTTGTTTTTTAAAATAAAAAAAATTTATTAATAGAAATTTTAATTTAGCAATTACAATTAAAATATAAGTTAATAATTTTTTTCTATTTTATTATATGGGTAACTTTTGTTATTAAAATCACATAATGGATTATTTATGATTTACTATATTCATAACTTGATTTTAATAGTTTACCATCTATATAATTAATTTATTTTTTAGTAAAATAATAAAAATCTTAATAAATAAAAATATTTTAAAATAAAATATTTATTTTTTGTATAATAGTAAGTATATTATAAATTATAGTCAACTTTTTCTAAATGCACCTTCTTGAGATCATAATGAAAATTTTAAAAAATATACATTTAAAAAAGGTATGTATTTAAAGAAAAAATTTTTTATATGATTTCTATATATTTAAAATTAAATGAAAGTATGTATTAAAGAAAATTTATAGTGTATGTATTTAGAAAGAATGCATTTAAAGAAAGTTAACTGTATATAAAAAAAATAATAAAAAATATAAAAAATAGATATTAAATAAACTCTATCATTTAATATTATTTATTTAAATAAATATATATCAATTAATAAATAATATAAAAACTTATAATAAAGATTTTATTATAATTTCTTATTTTATATTATTTGTTTATATTATACTATTTAAAACTGTTAAATAAATATCAATTATAAATATTATTAAGATAATTAATGATAAATTTACTATTTAAGAATTTCAACATTTAAATATATAAATTTAATTTAATTTGTAATTATAAAATAATTTATATGAACTCATATTTTAATTTTAATATTATAAATTTTTTATTTAACTTAATAATACAGTCAACTCTGTTTATAATGAATCTGTTTATACTAAAATCTGACTATAACAAACTCATTATATCAGAACTGAATTTTTTATACAGTCAACTCTTAATATAGCGAACTCTTGAATATAACAAATTTTTTGAACAAATATAATAAAAATACTCTTGTTATAGTAAATTGGTCAATCAAATCTCTTAAAATCTTCACTATAGCCTTATAGCGAAGTTGAGATCTAGGATATAGAGTTCGTTATAACAAGAGTTGACTGTAATTATTAACTTTGATTATATCAAACTATCTTAATAAATTTCTATATATTACATCTGAATTAACTTAACTAGCCTACTATTATTAAATTAAATTTTATATACTAAATTATTAATAATTATTATTATTATATTATTAAATCAATTTACTAGATCATCAATAATTATCATTATTATATCATTAAATCAATTTAATAAAATTATTGAAGAAAGTTTAATTATATAAATTTTCTTGTTAAAAATTTTATATTATTATATTTTACTTTTAAATAATTAGATTTTATGTTAAAAAGAAAATGTATTATTTTTTAGCTATACTTAAAAGAAAAATTTATGAAATAAAGAAAAAAATTCCAAATATTAGTAATATAGAAATTTTTAATAATATAATATTAGAAAGTTAATAGTTACAGATATTATAAAAGAAAAGAATATTACTTTCTATTATAACTAAAAATTAAGGTAATATAAAAATTTTATAACTCTAATTGATCACAACTTGATAGTACTCTTGATCTTTGGGTTGATAATAAACTTATATCAAATTAAGATAATAATAATTGTATCTTTAAAATAAAAATAAAATATTTTGCTGATAACCTTCTAATTAATAAATTTAATCAGTCTGATAGTTAGCTTACTAGATTTAAAAAAAGATAAGAATTTTAATAATTTAAAAAGCAAGACAAATTAGTAAATACTCCTTCTGTTAAATTATTAAAAAATGATAAAAGTAAATTTATAACAGCTACTTAAATTTTATTAACTTAAAGATATTTAGAATACTAATAAAACTGATTTTTTTGAAAAATAGAATCTTCATAAACTTTAACCTATTCTAAAATAGCTAGATATAAAAAGAAAAAGCTCATACAGTCATGCCTCGATATATCAAAATTAGATCAAGTTTTTATTATAAAGATCTTTATTAATATTATAACAAATTATTCAGTATATATAATAAATAATTTGTTATAGTAGATAATTACTGATTTTATTACATAAATATAATTTTTACTATAATATAATTTTTCCAGAAATATTTTCATATTATTTTGTAAATTCTAGTAATTTTATTTTAATATGCAATTTGTTAATCATTATACAACAGTTTTATTAATTTACTTAAATTTTTTTTAAAAAAAAAATTTAATTTATCATTTTTTTAAATAAAATAAAAATAAAATAAAAGAAAACTAAATAAGAT